AGTGCTCTAACAGTTAAAGGCGCATGATCCTCCAATCAACGCCCCTGATCTTGTCTCCTAAAAAAGGCGATCTTCTCTAGTATGGACTAGGCAAGAGCGCTAGGTATAAAAGGATGCGCTCTTGGACTCACAACGTAAGCATTCTTTCCTTGCTAAGATACACACTGAAAAACCCTAAGAAGCATTCTAACTTAACCGTCGAAGCGTTCTACCAGGAGCACCCTCCCAGGAACGGCAGACAACTTTCTTCTCTTGATATTTTGTAGAGGCAACGAGGGATCTGATTCAACCGCATCAGAGAGGTCATGTTCGCCATACGCATCACGATTGATGACTGGGATTAATGAAGGGACTCGACTAGTCGAAAAGGGTAGACTCGGCGAGTCCATGCTGAGGTCAGAAACCCTAAATCTCCAGGCTTGTTCCCTATTTAAGGCACCTTCTAACCCTCATGTGCGGCTACCAGTGCTGAGAGATAAACCCTAGACAGATTGAGCAAGTTGTGTGAGAGGGATAGCTATTTTGATCCTTTTGCTGTGGCTTTGCAAAGAAGAAGGTGTTTCCAGCAAAGAAGGTCAAGAGGATTGCAATTTTGTGGTTTTCAAGCTTGGGTCTTCATTGTTGAGGTAGTAAATCGATCCTTTCTTATGTTTTGTACAAGATCCTTGAATCTAGTGTTTTCTGTACCCCCTTTATTGGCTTGTATTGATGCATATGTTGTCCCTTTGAGTGTTAGACTATGGATCTGGACCTTTAGAGGTCCAGAGAGCATTATCTATCCTGCTTTATGTTGTTCCATGGAGGAAATGAACCTAGGATGCCATTTTTTAGAAGCCATTTCACCAAAAGAAGCCTTGGGTGCATTACATGAGTGTCAAGATTTGACCTTTACATGATTATTGGACATGAGGAAGTCAGATCTATAGGTTAAAGAAGCATATCTGACCTCAGAAGGTCGTTTGGGTGCTGTCATGGAAGAAACTCGCCAAGTCCATATGGGGACTCAACGAGTCGAGTCGGGGTTGCCCCGTGATTCATGACCAGTGGTAACCCGTCGAGTGGAAGGTTCACTCGAGAAGTCGAGTGAGGATTTAGAAGGATCCAGAGGACACGCTTGGACTCGCTGAGTCACCCATGTGCACTCAATGAGTCTGGTCAAAGTTTGACCGTTGACTAGAGTTGACTTCCGTTGACCTTGGGGTTTTGGTCAAGTTGTATCAAGAGAGGTTCGAGAGGGGTAGAATGGTCTTCTACCCATTATTAGAGATGAGAACATGAGAGGATTTTGACTAGAGATGTTATCCTGTTGATAAGAGGAGGCTAGGTCGGGACATTCGAGCACGAGAATTTATCCGACTTCATACGAGGTGAGTCTTCTCACCATACTTTACCTATAGTGGTAACTATGTGCGACCAGAAGGTCTTATATGCGATGCGAAGTATGTGACATGTGTTGCTATGTGATATGTATGTGTTATGCTATGTTATGAGTACCATGATATGGACCGGAAGGTCAATAGTGTATGGATCGGAAGGTCAAGATGATGAGGACCAGAAGGTCATATGGGTAGGGTCGAAAGATCTACCATAGTCGGGATGGAAGTCCCTTGAGACACATGGATCAAAATATCCCATAGAGGTATGGCCTTGAGTGGCGTATGTGTTGTATGTGGTAGTTTGGGGAACTCAATAAGCATTTATACTAACGATTTTATGTGACATGTCTTTCAGGTACTAGCAAGGACCATGGGAAGGCGTCAGCATGATCTGTACACACTGGCAAAAGATTTATTTTATGAGCTTGGGATATGTTTTTATCATGATGACATTTGTTAAACTTGAGATTTGAGAATATTGAATGAGTTTTATGTTATTTGAAAAATGAAAAATTGTTTTGAATTTTGACATTGGTACACATGAACTGGTCCCACTGAGATTTCTCAATTCCACGTCTCGGCAACCGACGATAGTTCTCTTCGCCCCATCCAAGAGAAACACGATCTCTAACACACACCTGTTTGTAACTTTCCTTGGAAAAAATCCTATGAAAAGCAACCGCAAGAGGAACATTTCCTTTCCAAACATCATGCCAAAAAGTAGTAGCCCCATTACCAATATGAATTGGAGTGAGGAAATGTAAGTCTAAGCAACGGTCACGGAATTGAACTAACATCCGTATCAAACTATTCCAAGGCCCTAATCAAGCCCCTAAGGGTTTTAAATCAACACAACCCCCATCAGAACCATAGATGGCTTTAACAATCCACACCAAAATGAGATCAGGATGGTGATAAAATCTCCACCTGCAATAAAAGATCATTAATCTATTAAATGAGAACAAACTCCCACCACCTAAGCCACCATTAGATTTAGGAGCCAAAACTCTATCCTACTTGAACCAGTGCATGTGTCTGTCATCCAAATCAGCACCCCAAAAGAATCTGGCTCGTAATGACTCCAATAGGCTGTGGACCGTGACTGGAATAGGGTTGACCGACATCAAGTAACTACCAATAGAGCCTAATACTAACTTGATTAAAGTAAATCTACCACTAAAATAAAGGGTTTTAGCCTTCCAACCTGCTAATCTATTTCGAAATCTATCTATAATGGAAGACCAAGCAGTGATCCTAGACATGTTTTCGCCCACCGGAATGCCAAGATGCATGAAAGGAAGGAAATCCGGAGTACATCCAATCTGATTAGCAGTAGCCACAACTTGGGAAGAATCAACCCCCACTCCAATTAATTTTCTTTTATGCAAATTAATTTTGAGACCCGACGCCAAGAAAAAACATCATAGAATATGAACAATATGGGAAGCATTTTCCAAAGACCAAGGAGAAAGCAACATTACATCATCAGCATACATAACGTGAGAGATAGTAATGCCACCAATAGAAATCCCCCTGAAAATATTAGCCTCTTGAGCTCTAGTAAGTGCAACATGTAACCCTTCCATAGCAAGAATAAAAAGAAAGGGAGAGAGTGGATCTCCCTGTCTCAACCCTCTTTGTATCTAGAATTCCTGCGTTGGGGATCGATTAACAAGGACAGAAGCCCTAGCAGATGAGAGTAACTCCATAATCCAACGACACCAAGTCGAACCAAATCCCATAATCTCCATAATTTCATGAAGATATTCCCATGAGAGGGAATCAAATGCTTTTTTGAAATCCACTTTAAAGACCATAAGAGGATTTTTTAAGGCCTTACACCAAGCTACCACCTCATTAAGAAGAGAAGGCCCATCTAAAATCTGCCTACTTTTAATGAAAGAGGACTTCTCCAAGCTCACAACCGAACCAATAACTTCCGCTAACCTATTAGCTAGAAGTTTACCAATGATTTTGTATCGGCAACCGATTAGTCTAATATGTCTGAAATCTCTAACAGTCTTCAAATCATGGAGTTTTGGGGATAATAGTAACGAAAGAAGCATTACATCCTTTAGGAATAGAAGAATGAGAGAAAAATGCATGACAAAAGCAAACACATCTTGTTCTATAAGATCCCAATAACGCATGATAAACCCAAAAGTAAAACCATCTGGTCCTGGAGTACTTTTTAGAAGAACCATAATCCCAAATAGCTTTCTTGATTTTGTCACGAGAGAATAGGGCCTGAATAAATTGAACTTGAGAATCTGATAAAGTACAGAAGTTATGAACAGCAGTGTGAGGCCGAATTCCTCTTTGTTTGGAAAAAAGAGACTGGTAGAATGCTCGAAGTTCATCTTTGACCAAAATAGGGTCATCAATCCACACCCCGTCTTTAAACACACCTCGAATGGTCAATTGACACCTTTTTCTGTTAATAGTACTATCGAAATAACCAAATCCACACCCCGTCTTTAAACACAACTCGAATGGTCAATCGATGCCTTTTTCTATTAATAGTACTATGGAAATAACCAAATTTCTCATCTTCTTCAATACCCTACCGAACCATAGCTTTTTGAGCTAAATCCACCTGATTCCTATGATCGATGTCAGAAATATCCATTTGAACTGTGATTCTTTATTCCCGAAGCTGACCCATCATCAATCATAAGGTGAGCATCAATCGACTCAAGAAGATCCTGCAATTCTTTTCTCTTTAAATTCAGCCCATTTCGATTATTCGCATTCCAAATACGAATATTAGCTTTAAGATTTTGCAATTATTTCTTAAAGATAATCCAAGGATTATCATGAAGCACCCCCGCGGGAATTTGAGCCCAGGAATTACGAACCACATCATCTAAACCGTGCATATCGAACCATTAGTGGAAAAAACAAAACAGAGTGGGACCAAACTTAATATTATGTTCCAAGAGTAGAATTGGGCGGTGATCTGGAACATTTTTTCTAGAACCATGCCAGTGAGATGAGGAAAATAATCAAAAAAAACTATTTGTGACTAGGAATCTATCAAGTTTACTGAATTTGGATCCCCACTTATCACTCCAAGTAAAGTGTTGGCCTCCCAGAGAAATATCAACCAAATCACAATGATCAACGAACTGATTGAATTAATGGTAGGAGCGAATTGAAATTGAGAACCCCATCTTTCAGATTCATCACGGGCCACATTAAATTCCCCCATCAACACATATTCACCATCAAAAGAAGTAATCATTTGCTAAAGATGTAACCAAATTTGTCTTTTGGCTTAAACAGATTGCGGAGCATACACCGAGACAACAAGCATACGAATAGCTGAAGTCAACCAAACACCCTCGATTGCAACAAAATTGTCAGAAATAATCTCCCGTGTCTTAGAAAAGCGATCCAGGTCCCAAATCAAGAGAACACCGCTCGAAACTCCACGAGATGGTGCAAAAGCATGAGAAAAATATGAATTTCCCCAAAAAGATCGAACAGTAGAGAGATCTATATTTTCTTGTTTTGTTTCTTGGATGCTTAAGAAGTTCACCTTATGTTTAATGGTTAAGGATCTAACCCAAGATCGCTTGGCACGACTTCCCGCTCCTTGGATATTAATAGAAAGGCAATTCATTAAAAGACTTTTCTACCCTCGTGACCTTCAACAATCTCTTTTACCCGGTCAAAACACCCATCCATATTATAACCCAAAGATCGCCCGATATCCAAGGTTTTTTGAATTTCTTTCAAGAATGAGAAATTATTAAAAGATCCTTGTGAAAAATTCCCTCCCCCCATAAAATTAGAAAAACCTAGGGGATGTGTTAAGTTATCTTCTAAAACATCAATACCCTCCATATGTCCAAATCCTCCAGAAAATCCAACCGGAGGGTTTCCTCTATGTTCCTGACCTACAGGGGCTGCCATGGTTGAAGCAGCTGAGAGAACATTAGGTGAGGTCTGCACATTTTCTCCTGTAACAGGTGTTACTATTGGTGGGCTAGCATTAAAATTTGGAGAAGGGGCAGCGACAACATTAGGAGCCCGGCGGTCCTTATCCACAGATTGTTGCACCGATGGTGTACATGCAACAGAAGAAAAACTCTTCTATTTTCCAAATCTGTTAAGATTTCTTTTGTGAGAGAAATTTTGGGAATGCCCCTGAGTAGCTTCGAGATCTTCCTTGGGCTGACTTTCAGCTTCAAATTGGTTATCTCTCATTCTCTCATTAATTTCAACCTCTTCAACTCTCATGTTTTCCAATGTTTCATATATACCAAATGGGTCTTCTATTTCTCCTTCTTTATTTTGCATGGGATTATCTTCCTCAATGGTCCATTACTGGCATGATTTTCAAACGTAGTTTTAGGAAATTCGGAAGAGAAAGTTGGGGTCCACCTGGGCATTTCTTTGACAAGACAAGCAAGTTGTCGATTATCAACTAAAAAATCCCCAGAAGGAAGGCCTAAAATTTCAACAGCTTGATCCATCTGATGTTTATCAGAAGAAGACCCTTTAACAATGCTAGCGTAGGATTTCATTATGGGAGTATCTTTTCCATGTTGGTTTAGAAAGTCTCAAATATCACACTCAAAACTCTCGTGTATAATGAAAGTATTGAACATGCAGAAGAGAATAAAGACTTTCTAATATGAAGTGTAAAAGAGATGTACTTTGAAAGTTACAGGAAGAAATCTCACTCCTTATTCATATTAAAGAAAGCCTATATATAGGCTTACATGCATACACGTGAAAACAAACAGAATGTAAATCAAATACTATTCTAATCCTATAGACTAGGTAAAGATGATGACTTCTTCTTATACCCAACGTGCTCTGACTCCAACTTACACATCATGAAGCAGTCAAACCCCTCTACCCATTTTTATTTATGCACCCTTTAAATAAAATAAACCAAAATAAACTATTAACTAAAAAACCATAAAATTATTAAACTAGCATGCATTTGAACTTGTGAATTAAACCTGATTAATCTCAACAATCACCCCCTTAATCAGGTGCATCATTCACAGTATTGCCGGTTCCTCATCCTTGCACCGGTTCAAGTTGAGCTCGTTCTTTTTCTCCCACAAGGGACACTCCGAAATGTAATGCCCGAACTCATTACATTTGTAGCATTTCACGTAACTCTTGTCCCGTTGTACTCGACCTTCTCCTCGACCTTTCCCGGGACCCCGACCTCCTCCTCGGCCACGCCCATAGTCTTCGTGATTCGAGTTTCCACAACCACAATGCTCACACTTATGCTCTTTTTCTTTTGGTTTTTCATCAGAATTTACAAGTAAAAGTTTATTTTGCTTGGGTTGGATCTCCTCAACTTTGATCCTTTCTTCATAAGCTTTAAGTCGACCTACAACATCATCATAACCGATGGTCTTCAAGTCTACAACCTGTTCTATAGAAGCCACCATATGAATAAAACGTTTTGGTAACCCATTAAGAAACTTCTTAACCAATTTTGTTTCTTCCATAACCGATCCAAGTGAGGCCGCTCGAGAAGCATATTCAGACAACTTATTAGCAAAGTTATTTATCACCTCTTGGTCCTTCATCTTCAGATTTTCAAACTCTCCCATTAGAGTTTGAAGTCTCGCCTCCCGGATTCGATCCGCACCCAAATGACGAGTTTTGAGAACCTCCCACATCTCCTTTGCGGTTGTGAGATTCCCTATTAACAGTGTCTGCTCCTCGGGTATGGCTTGGAACAAAAGTGCAATTGCTATGTTATTCTTCTTGGCATCCCCATTGACTCCCAGATCGATTGCCTCCCACACCCCATGAACATTGAAGATAGCCCGCATCCTCATATCCCATACTGTGTAATTTGTTGATGACAATACCGTACATTGAAGAGTCATGGTGTTGCTCTCCTTGACAACAGCCGCTGTTTGATCCTTCGGTGGAGCCATTCTTGCGTTTTACTGCACTACCAAGGTTATATAATCAACTAAAAAACCCACTGCTTGAAAGAGCTACCTGCAAACACCTTTTGCTGCCTTTCACCTTCTGTTTTTCACCCTTTGATTAACACCTTCTGGTTGCTCTTGATCCTCCTATGTTGTTCTTCGATAAAACTGGGTTAACAAGCCCCGCTGATTTTGGCCAGAATCACGACTCGTCTCCGCTACCCTTTTGATCCCTAGAACAGAAAATAAAACAACCTAATAATCTGAAATCAACCCCTCTTCAATCTATCTCCGCTCTGATACCAAATGTTTGTTTAGAAAGTCTCAAATATCACATTCAAAACTCTCGTGTATAATGAAAGTATTGAACTTGCAGAAGAGAATAAAGACTTTCTAATCTGAAGTGTAAAAGAGATGTACTTTGAAAGTTACAGGAAGAAATCTCACTCCTTATTCATATTAAAGAAAGCCTATATATACGCTTACATGCATACACGTGAAAACAAACAGAATGTAAATCAAATACTATTCTAATCCTAAAGACTAGGTAAAGATGATGACTTCTTCTTATACCCAACGTGCTCTGACTCCAACTTATACATCATGAAGCAGTCAAACCCCTCTACCCATTTTTATTTATTCACCCTTTAAATAAAATAAACCAAAATAAACTATTAACTAAAAAACCATAAAATTATTAAACTAGCATGCATGCATTTGAACCTGTGAATTAAACCTGATTAATCTCAACATTCCATCTTTTGTGAGAGAAACATGGGTATTGTGATTAGAGACGCCTGTTTTATCAAATCTTGTAGTAGCAGCAAACAACTTGTCGTATCCAAACCACACATCACACAATTGATTCACCATGGTATCATAATTAAGGATACCTGAGAACCTTATCAAACCAAATCGTTTACCCAAACCGGTTCTTTTGTTCGAGAAAAAGACATCAACTACCTTTCCTAAACGATTGCATACATGCCATATATCACTGGGAAGAATGTAGTCTGGAAAATTCATAATAAAGAAGAAGAAATAGTAGAGTTTACGTGTGATCGCTTCACAGAATTACACTCACGGTTTTGGGACGAGAATGATCGTGATTTGTTCCATCTGTCATCAGGTCTCCATCTTGAATCTGGTTTGATATCTCTCATCTTCACAACAACAGATAACTCTAATGGATAGAATTGATGATTGCCGACACTATAAAGGAATCAAGAGTCACCCAGCCCTGCTGACGTTTGATCCCATCGGAGAAGAAGGGCCGATGGCTTAAGAGAGCCTTTTTTCATATAGATTGATCTAGATTCCTTTTTTCCCTTTCATATATATATATATATATATATATATATATATATATATATATATATATATATATATATATATATATATATTATACAAACCTTACTATTTGTAAAAATAGATTTTAAGACGTTCAAACTGTTAAGTTATAAATACAAATAACCATCGATAAAATAAATAATATTAAAATTTAAACTTAATCCTATTTAATTAAATTGTACAAATATAATACAATATGTATAAGTATAGAATGCAATCATAAAAGATCTTATTTCATTTTGACCGCCCTCTTTATCTTTCCATTTTACTCTTGCTTATCTTTAGCTGGTCCTCCACATTTATCTCTGGAAATGAACCACAAATTCGAATTCTCCCTCATCCCTTCCGGATTCATCTCTGATAAATTCAAGATATACGTTTTCTTCATCATCTCCTCTATTCAATCTAGGGTTTTTACAAGGTAAAAACCCATCAACACCACCACTCATTGTCACTTCTATTCCCATCCGATAATACACAAGCCCCAGTCGATTTAAGCCAATACTCAAGCCTCAGTCCTTTCAGACGTAAAAGATGGTGCAGGGGACATCGGTAAAGTATTAACATTTAAATAGCCAGGTATATTTTTTGTTTAGGATATGCTTCTTGATTCTCTTCTTTAACCGGGTTAATGTATTTTCGTTTTCTTGCTGTTTGGTTTAGGCTATGATTCACTACTAGAAAACAGGTGCAATAGCTACAACACAATCCGTAGCTATTCCGTAGTTATAAGCGAATAGCTACGGAATTGCTACGGAAAAACATCTGTAGCATAATGGCCCATGGCTAAATTATAGCTACGGATTAGCTACTGAATAGCTACGGAATAGCTACGGAAATAAATAGCTACGCATTTCCTACAGAATAGCTACGGAATTGAATAGCTACAGAATAACTAAGGAACTAAATAGCTACGGAATAGCTACGGAACTAAATAGCTACGGAATATCTACGGAAATGGATAGCTACGGAATAGCTACGGAAGTAAATAGCTACGGATTTTCTGTAGGTAATCCGTAGCTAATTACTTTTTATTTTTATAAAAAAAAAAAACCAATAAAAAATTATTAAAAAAATCCATTTTTTTCTGTCCAAAATATTAAAAAAAACCATTACATTAAACTTATAACAATATTAAAATTCAACTACAAAACAAATAACATTATAATAAAACTAATAAACCTAAAAATATATCAAATACAAAATAAAATTGAAATTTTTTTGATGGATTACATGGCAAATTATCGAGTAAGTTGAATCAATAAAGGCTGAAAAATGCTCTTCAACTTGAGTTTTGAATCAAAGGCCGCCAATTGTTCCTGTTATAGTACAACATAATCAATGATCACAAAAAAAAAATACAAATATAGCAATGCACTTACATTTATTTGTTTATTATAGCCATAATTGGATTTTTTTTGAAAGTACAACACTATAAGTAAGACAAAATGAAAGTAGGATGTTATAAGAAGTTTGTATATCTTTCATTTAACTAGCTCAAAAATAAAAACACATTTCCTTCCAAGACTACCAAACATACATGATACCTTTTTAACTTGTATTTTCTTGAAAATCCAAAGCATTTGTAAAGAGGAAGTTCGATCCATTTTACACCCCTGCACACAGGAAAAAAAAAAGAAAAAAAACTCTTAAACTTTTTGTTTCTTTCCAAGCACTTTTAAATCCTAAAGATATAGACAAAAGATTCTTTGAAACAAACATTTACATTATTTATTGCATCAAACAGCTTGCAAATGGTGAAAGCCATCATGTATAATAAAATTTAAACTCTTAAGCCTTTGGACATTACCTAATGTTGTTTATATCTCCTAAACAAAGTGACCAAATGTTGTTTATATCCTCCTAATAACTTTTAAATCCTAAACAAAAGTTGTTTCTATACATTCTTTAAATCCTAAAACATATTGTTCATATTAAATTGTCATTATTACAACAAACAGATTCATTTTTTTCATGGCCAAACCTGTTTTTAAGAAGAAACATTGCTTAGGTTGGCAAACCCCTTTGAAATCAATC